AAATGAATCATTTGGGATGATATTGTCCTACTTCTTATCATGCACTTCTATCAATGTTTTATCTTATTAGTTGAGATAAACTTAAAGTAAATTAATCAAGAAGGAGTGAATTGGTTGCTAAGAGAAATCGCCATCTTTTCATAGATTAAAGAGATAATGAAACTTAAGTGTAGTGGAATGAAAACCAGAGTATGACAGAGTATGAAAGTGTTGAAAAGTAAGAAACACAAAGCCAAGATTTTTATAGACGTTCAACCTTCAATACCTATGTCATCTCCTTTGATATCACAATAATTTTGAATCAACTATAAATTGGCTTTCAAGGAGTAGTCATAACCTTTACAGAAACATTGCCTTTTCAAGAGGAGTAAGCACAACCTCACAACATCATTGCATTTCCAAGGTTAAAGAATAACCTTTCACAAAGTCTCAACCTTTTCAAGGTTAAAACACAATCCTTCTACCTTTAGCTCAGAGGTATAACCAAGGTACTACCTTTTCGATGAGGTATAATCTTCAACATTACTTTTTTCTTAGAAATATAACCAAATATAAAAGTGGATTACAAATGTATGAACTGTATGTCTCTAAAGAAAGCTATGAGCAATGAGAGCACTAAAGGTGAAAGCTTTCTTAGAGTAACGGTTGGAAATAGAGGTGTTTAAGCTCAGAAACTTTCTATAGTAAGGAAAGGTATAATCTTAGGTGATGGTCAGCTCACTACTAGAATAAAGGAAAGATTTTTTTGTTTCAGCATTTTCAAGAACAGTCTTTTCCTATTTTCGCTTTCTTTTTTCTTTTCTTCTAATTCTTTTTCTCTTATTCTTCTTTCTCTTTTTATGTCCTTTAGGTGGGTATTTATAAGCTTGAACCTTTTTTGCCTATTGGAATGAGATTCAAAACTTTTCTTTTTGTTTTGTGCCCAACTGGACTTTTGTTTGTTGTGCTTGTAGAATTAATATGTTGTACCTTTGGTGTCAATTCTTCACGATTTTGGAAAATTGATATCTTTATGTTTTTCTTGAGAATTGACATGTTCTTCATCGGGTGTCGATTCTTCATGACATGCTCCAAGTTTACTCTTTTCTGTTTTTTCCTAAAATCGACATGTTGTGCTTTTGGTGTCTATTCTTTATGTGTGTTTGGTGCCAATCCAAAAATTCAAACTTGAAATTCTAAGCTCCATTCATATTCATTTGTCATCTCTTGCTTTCTCTCCAAGTTTTTAACTTTTTCTCTTTAAAGCTTCTGCTATGTCTAATGGCTTTTGTTTCTCCAAAATTGACATGTACTTATTTAAGAATCGATTTTTCTTGTAATAAAAAAAGAGATTTTGCTTTCTGTATTATTGAAAATCGATTTTTCACTTTTTAAAGGTCAATTGTTGTAGCTGAAAATTTAAAGTTTAAAATTTTAGAAATATCTTTCAATTTAAAACCAACTAAAAAACTCTTTAGGGATTTTCTTCTCATTTGAAAACACTTTTCAACTCTTTCAAGTAAAATTAAATTTGTCATTTCAAAACCAAAATAAAGATAACATATGTACCATATATGAATGATTGAATATTATACATTCAGCTATAGGAAGCATATTAGATATCATAATGCATTAAATCAAAGTTTTGTGTAGGACCCTTTGGAAATTTTGGGTTTGTAGTCATAAATATGAATCTATACATCAACATTGATAAGAAGAAAAACTACCAAATTAATCAACTTTGGTTTAAGTCTATAACCCCCATCATAACAAAATGCAAGCCTTATGATTGTTCACCCAAAATGTAATTGAATGGGTACAGAAATTAATAGCCAAAAAGTGAAATTGATAGGAATGGGAAGATTGCCACATTTTAGAACCTCATATTAGTGAAATTTCTATATGTACTAAGATCAACATAGCCCATAAGGACCTAAACAATTAAACATAGTTCCATATATTGAAAGAAATAGCATGAATATTGTTGTCAGATGTACCATTCAAGTGCATATATCATTAATAAATAATATAATAGAAAGTAAAGTATCGATCCCATGAGGAATTGTACCAAAATTTTGCTAAATACTAAAATTAACATAACTTAATCTTATCCAAACAGTTGATTTTTTAAAAACTACCAAAAATAAAAGAAACTAAAACTAAGAACAAGAATCACAATTTAAATAGAATAAATCAATCAAACAAAATCTAGAATTACAATATCCATGCAACACTTTATTTGAATCTCTATTACTCTCTCATTACTTACTAGATAGGCTCAAGTTGTTAACCTAGAATTTTAATATATTTATAAATCTTCGTCAAGGTTCTTATAAATATATATCTCTCAACCAATTTGCTATATGTTTATACAAATTGCAATTAAAAAAGACTTATTAAGCTTAGATTCTAATGTTGGCTACATACAATATGCAAGTGTATGTCTATCTGACATGCGAATCAAAGCAATCATCTCATGCAATTGATATTGAACATATGCTATTTCATCCCAGGCTTACAGTAAACTCCCTCTCTCAATTCTATTTAGGTTACCCCATCTATCAAACTGGTGATCAACAATCAAATACATTAATCACAAGATTGAAATAAATAACTCAAAAACTATCAATCATAAGCAAAAGAAAGTATTAAAAATTCAAACTACATGTTGGATTCAATTGCAATTATAGATAAAGGAAATTAGTTTATGATAACTATTAAAAACATTATCTAAAAAAGTTTAACCATCAATACAAAATAAAGAAAGTATAAAGAAAACTACAAAAGAAAAAAAAATTAAGATTTGTCAAGTCTTTAATCTTCAATCTTCAAGAGTTTTTCTTAACTTTCTTGCTTGTTTGGTAGCTTTTTTTCTTTAGAGAAAACTTATCTTAATTGTTGTTCTCAAGTGTTCTCAAAGGGTCTTTAAATAGAGCTAAAATTCTACTCGAATTGAAAGTCCAAATTTTTGAAACCCGAGGTATCGTGTTGGTTTCGCGTTGCCACTCCCTCAGCACTATAACATTGAGCTTTTTGTCTTAGCCCATGGTCTCCTCTTTTTCACGGCATTACATCACCATTAATCCATGGCCATGGCACCCAACGTTATGTCTTGCCTTTTCTGTTGTACTATACTACTTCAACTTGACATAATATTTTTTCCTTCTTTCATGTTAAACTGGGTAAAGTGGTAAATGTAAAAGTTATAATCTATCTCTTACTTTTCAATGGTTTAAGTACCTATTTGGCCTGGCTTATATTTAGCTTATCTATTGCTTAAAAGTAGAAGCTGGACCAAATAGAATTTCATAAAAAGCTCTTAAAAAAAATCTAAAAAAAGATCTTAAAAAAAGTTCTAATTAGGAACTTTCTCTTTTGTATTTTGTTTTTTTAAAAACAAGCTAGCTTATTAAGAGAGTTATTTTTTCCCAAAAAGATCATCTCTCTCAAAAAATACTCCTCCCTTTCTCCCTATCGATCTCCCTCTCCTCTTTCTTTTTCTGCAAATCAGGATTTTTTTTGTTCTTACAAAAATTAAGAGGAACAAAATGCAAAAAATCATAACTACATTAAGGTATTATTTCTTTCTTTTTTAGTTTTTTTTTTCATTTTATTTTTTTTCATTTTTTTTCTTTTGAGTTTTGAAAACTCTCTTTATTATTTGATATTTCTCAATTTATTGTTTGATATGACAATTATGTGATGTTTATTTGTTCTTAATTTTTTTCAATATATGCAATATTTATTGATTATTTTATATTTATTGATGTATGTTCATGTCAAAGACAATTGGACTTTATGTGGACTAACCCTTAAGTGTGCAACCCGTGGGTTGATGCTTGATGTTCATTGTTTACTGGCTTTTATGTTTTTTCCTTGGCTTAGTGTCATGGTTTTTTTGGCTGATCTTGGGCTTTGATGTTTATAGTTTTTGTAATTTTGCTGTCCATTTTGCTTGTTACCTGCAGAGCAACTATCTAGGTTTTTGGTTCATATATCCAAGCTGTTGGGATCTAACAACTCAAAATTTGAGATTCTTTTGTATTTGGAGAGGGCATGCTTTCTTTTTAGGTATAAAATCCTAACTTTCAAAAAAGAAGGAAGAACATGCCTTAGCACAAGTAATCCGGTAAAAACATGCCAAAGAAAAACATCCATCTTACAACTTACCCACCATATACACTCTAATATATTATATAGAATTGTTACTTTCTTATATAATTAGCATATTTTTATTTGGTAATTGTTTTTCTTCACCTAATAAATTTAGGTGTCTTATTGTTTGAGTGATGACGCAATATTTATTGCTTTATATGTCGTGTTGCAGTTTATGGCTAGTCAAGAAATGCCTCCACTTAATTTTGAAATTTTAGATAAACCAAAACATAATGCAAAGTGGGATTTGGTCACTACTAAAATCTTACTTCAAGTTTGTATGGATGAGATTCGTAAGTGTGGAAAACCAGAAATTTCATTTAAAACTAAAAGATGGGAAGTTGTAGTACAAGAATTTAATACTCGTGCTAATAAAAACTATACCCAAAAGCAATTGAAAAATAGACTGGACAGTCTAAGGAATGAGTGGACTTTATGGAAACAATTGAAGGGCAAAGAAACATGTTTGGGTTGGAACCATGAGACCGGAACCATTGAAGCTGATGCCACATGGTGGGAAGCCAAAATAAAAGTAAGCATTTTAAATTTTATATGTTTCATCTACAATAAATTATTTTACATATGTACCTCGTTTAAAAGTTTTTTTCTCTTTGATGTTTGTGCAAGTCAATACAAAATATGCCAGATTTCGATATCAAGGGTTAGAACGTGCTGATGAATTGGAATTTATATTTGAGGATACAGTAGCCACTAGTCAAAATGCATGTCAGATCTACAAATCTAACTTCGTTATAAGACAGTGTTGAATTTGATGTTGAAGAATTCAATTGTGATGAACATGACAGCCTTATAGTAAACACTCAAATAAAAAGGAAAAAAATGGTGCCAGAAGAAATGGGAAAAAAATGGCAAAGGGTAAGGCAAAAATAGGGATTGTAGCAAGCTTGCAAAGAACATTGGAACAATTCTACGAGGCAGCAGAAAGTCATAATGCAGCTGAAAGTGCTGAAATTTCAATGTCATCACAAGCCATAGGACAATATAGTATTCCAAAGTGTGTTCAAGCAATGAAATCTCTACAAAATGAAGGAAGATTGAGTGTAGATGAATTTAATTTTGCACTACAATTGATTAAAAAGGAAGAAAATAGACTCATTTAAGTGATAAGCTAAATTGGATTTAATTTTGCACTACAATTTATTTCTTTGCCAGATTTAAGTGATAAGCTAAATTGGATTCAATATGAGCATAATCTATCAAAAAATTGTGGTGGAACTAGTTGATTAGTTTAGGACTAGTTTATTTTAAGTTGATGTTGAACTTTAAACTACTTTCTTTTTGTATTTGTGTTGCTTGTTATGTTTAATTAAATTGGTGTTAGAAAGAGTTTGCCATTATCCATGTTATATTTATTTGAATTGTTATTTGTACTATTTGATTTGTTTCAAATAATATTTATTTTTTGATTGATATACTTGGATTTCTACTTATGTATTTTGATATTGTTAAACAGATATCTTCTAATGAAGTCAAAGTATCAATGCAAGTTGTAAAGAGAAGAAAATGTGCAAGGTTTTATCAAAATATGTATGGAGGAGCTACTATTGCAATTTTATATCACATGAAATACTTAATGAAACAAGGAAACAGATTCAATTATTCGGATGGATGGAATTTGGTACGTGAAACTTTACAAACTCCAAGTGAAAGTTATAGAATGTTTATGATGGAATCACATGCTGTATTGCAACTGATAGATACATTGATAAATAAGGAACGGTTACATCCATCTAAAGACATGACAGCATTAGAGGCGGTTGCTATGTTTCTTTGGACTTGTGCACATAGCGGAACAAATCGTAATGTCCAAAATAAATTTAGAAAATCGAGAGAGACTGTAAGTAGGAAGTTCGGTGAAGTGTTAGATAATTTAAGTTTACTAGCCAATGAAATTGTCAAGGCTTCAGATTTTCAATTTGCAAAAGTTCCATCCAAAATTAAAAATGATCGTAGATATTGGCCTTATTTTCAGAGGTGCATTGGTGCTCTGGATGGATCACATGCTCCTGCTATTTCTCTTGCAAATGATCAAATTTTTTTTATTGGTCGAAAGGGATATCCAACACACAATGTCATGTTAATGTGTAATTTTCACGTGCTATTCACTTTTGTGGTTGTTGGTTGGCCTGGCACTGCACATGACACTCGTATCTTTTCAACTATGCTTGAAGAAAAGAAAACTGTGTTCCCTCATCCTCCAGAAGGTACAACTTATATAAAGTTTGACATTTTATATATTTATTTCTTGAATTTTTATAATAAACTAATACTTAAAGCTTTAACTTTTTTCTTAGGTAAATATTATGTGGCGGATGCTGGTTATCCTAATATGAAAGGGTATCTAGCACCTTATAAAGGTGAAAGATATCATATTCCTAATTTTTGATGTTGCAGTCAGCCACAAGGTGTAGAAGAAACATTCAACCATGCACATTCTTCGTTAAGAAATGTCATTAAATGAACAATTGGAGTTTGGAAGAATAGATGGCATATTCTACGTGATATGAAGCCATT